TATGTAGAAGGTTGAATTTTAAGGTCATATTTTCCATAATTTATTATAAAAATGATTTGTGAGTCTTGGGATATGTTTTATAAATTAACTTTCCAGAATCATGAATTAGTTTCAAATTAATAATACTTTTGAAAGGTTAGCATTTTACCTATTACTGTTTTAAAATGCTGCACATATTTTAGTTTATAAACCTGCAAAAGATACTTCTGTTAGAAGATTTTAGTTCATAGTCATCGTGAATAAAACTTTCATGCTTAAAAAATCAGAAACATTTAGCTTTGTAGAACTTATCTTTCCCCCCTTCACATTTGATCAGTTTATATGTATTGATGTATCCCCATTTTACTACCTTAAGCTTATATTTATTTCAGGATATAAATTGTTATGAATTACCCTCTTCTTAGGAAGCTAATAAATTTTCTAAATAATATTTTTTCAGGGTTCATCTTTCTAAATATTTCAAGGACTCCCAAGGTTTCTTATATAGATGGAAGACTGTATGTGTTTCAGTCCCAAGATAATTGAATCATTCTCCCTCAAATGCACTATTCTTTGATTCTCTTCTGTTGTCCCTCTTATAAGGCACCAAGGCCAAGAAATCTGAGTATAAGAGTAAATAACCTTTTCATTGATGTTCATAGCATTCTCTTCAGTAGTTTCTCAAAGAACTGTGCCAGCAGAAGTTTTAGCAATAGTTATATGGTACCTACACACCTGGCCTTCCAGTTCCACTCTAAATATTTCACAGGCTTCCCGATCAGTGTTCTTAAAGCATAACTAAGGGCCAGATGTCTGTCCTATTCAAGTCAATACCAGTAGTCTATAATATATTTTCTAAATTTTTGGTTATATTCTGTCTTAAATAATCCCAAGTAAGGAGTGACAATAGCCTATTTCAAATCTCAGCTTATAGAAACAGCTTTTTCTTCTCCGTGGACACTGTCTAGTTAAAGATATATCCTTTTATATTATAAATAGGGTTAACCCAAATTGGTATGGGTGATTTTCTTTACTCAGGTCTACTGATTCAAATACAAATCTCCTCCAGAAACACTCCCAAACATACCTAGAATAATTTTTACCAGCTGTGATGGCATCTCTTAACCCAGTGAAGTTGACCTAAAATTAACTATTAAATCTGCTAACGGGGCTGGGGATGTGGCTCAAGCGGTAACACGCTCGCCTGGCATGCGCAGGGCGCTGGGTCGATCCTCAGCAGCACCACATACCAACAAAGATGTTGTGTCCACCGAAAACTAAAAAATAAATATTAAAAAATTCTCTCTCTCTGTCTCTCTCTGTCTCTCTCTCTCTCTCTCTCTCTCTCTCTCTCTCTGTCTCTCTGTCTCTCTCTCTCTCTCTGTCTCTCTCTCTCTCAAAAAAAAAATCTGCTAACACATCTACTAAGCAACATCTAGGTCTTAGGATGCAAGTTTAACTTAAGCTGACCATCATTCTACAGATATATTTACTATTACATATATAGCATTAAAACAAAGTTAAAAGAAGTTCATTATCATTGTAAATAATTCACTTCTACCGTATGAAAAGATAAGTATCATGCCAGGGACTATCATGATATCTATATTCTAACTCTGCAAGGTTGAGTGCCTCTTATCTGTTTTCTAAAACTCTAAAATTTGCAATCTCATTTCTATGCCTTTTTGAAAAGGTTGTTTTGAAGAATCTGGAGCATAATACAAGATAATTATATTATAAATGACAAAGTTCTGTATAAATGCAAATTAATGATGGTAGAATTATTTGTAATATTATATTATAAATTAATTCAGGTTAGAGATTGACTTTAATGATCATTGTGGGAACCACAATGTTTACTATAGTGCCAGTCAGTATCTTGCATTTAGTGGCTGCTCAAAAAATAAAAATTTCCTAAAGAAAATAAATATATGAAAAAGAATGACATCATCTAGTCCCTTTTTTATGTGCCATCCCATGTAAGATTTGGTGACATGGTTGAAATTCTGAAAGATTTCAGTGCTGACTTATGCCATATATCCCTTTTACAAAGTAATCACTTTGAAGATAAGTGAAGGACTTAAAGACTGGGCTACTTTCCATTTGTTATTTCAAAGATAAGCCATTCCCAGAATTTTTCAAATTTTCTCACTTTAGTGCACAGACAGAATTTCCGAAATCAATTTTTGTTCTATAAAAACAACTTTATGAAATTGTATATCACTACATGAACATGTTTTAGCCAGTGAAAAATTGTGTTAGGATAAATGGGGAACATAAAATTCTTGCCTTTCTTATTATCTATTGCTTTTTCTCTGTGTTTTTGTAGATGTTGAGCTTTCTGAAATATATAAACAATTTAGTAATTTGCATTGCAAATAGATTGTAAGTAAGTGACCTTTGTAGAGTGTTTCTGCCTAGCGAGTCCCTGGCATGAGTTTGGATTTTTTTTTTCCAATGGAAGAAAGTCTAGAAATACCCCTTTAATTCTGTGCTAAGATATGAAGAGTATTGTCTCAGTTCTGCTACACTTAAACAGTATGTTTAACATATAGTACATGGTAATGGTGAAAAAGGGAAAATCAGAATGTATGTAATCATTATGTTCCCTTTTGTGTATAAAAAGAAAGTAGAGTATGTCAAAAATGTTATTCTTTCGGGTCTATTAATATCAAAATGGACTAAAGAGTTGAAAGATTTAATGTCACCCATTAGCCTGAAAGGGGTTGTTGTATTGCTAATGTGAATGCTAATAGTTAAATAGAATAAAAAAGAACATAGGAAGGAGACATCTCATTTTAAAAATCATAGTGTATTCCATAAGTGTCAGCTGCAAAGTAATTTTCCAGAAATGGTCTGATTTCCCCATCAACTACCATTGTAAAACTAGAGCTGTGTTCCTATAGAAAACAAATTTGGCCTCAGGTTATAATAAAACACTGAAAAATTCAGAAAACCCTATAAAATCAAGTATTTCAAGGCACAATTATCAGTTCCTGATAAAAATTTCTATCACAAAATATTAATACCACTGGAGTGCATCTTAAACTAGTACACCACAGACAGTGTTATTATCCTCTTTCTACAATTGCAAGTCTGTTAAATTTTATTTTGGTGCTAAGTATTGAACCCAGGGGCACTTCATCAGTGATCTACATCCACAATCCTTTTTATTTTTGTTTTGGGACAGGGCCTAAGTTGTGTGGGACTTTGTACATTGCTGAGACTGGCCTCAAATTTGCAATCCTCCTTCCTCAGCCTCTAATGTAGCTGGGATTATAGGCATGCACCACTACACCCAACTTACTCTTATTTAAAAAATTGACTGGGTTCTCTTTATTTTTCATGTTTAGAGCACTTAACTTTCTCTGAAACATTCTTTTTGTTGTGTTTGTTTAAGTCCTAAGAGATTGAACCCAGGGGCTCTTTATAACTAAGTACCTCCCCAGTCCTTCTCATTTTTTTCTTTGATTTTGAGACAATCACTAACTTTCTAAGTTGTATGAGAATCTTGGAGAGTACTTCGTTTTTGACTCTAAGACAGTAACCATTTTTGTTGATCTCAGCAACTTCCGAACTCTGTTTCTGAAAGCATTGCAAATCCTGTTGGTTTTCTTTTTAAACTTCTATTGGCATTAATATACCTATTGACTATATTGATTTCATGTTATAATCCTTTAACAGGACTTATCAGATATTTTATACCTATGAATTTCACTAATTTGCTGAGGCTGTCCTCAAATTTGTAATCTTCCTGCCTCAGCCTCATAAGTCATTGGGATTACAAGTGTGTACCACCAGCAAGTATCTGTGCTTACATTTGTTGAACACTGGATATAGGGAATTAAAATTGGATAAAGGGGGACTTATCAAGGCATATTTTTACAGATTCTTCTCTGAGCTCTGTATGTCTAGAGATAAAGGCAATTTTTTCCTCTGTGTATGGGATGGACAGTTCAGGATTAAGGGTCTTATGACCTGCTTCAGAAGCATTGTCAGAGAATTTTTTTTCCACCTGCTTCAGGGAAGAACCATGAAGGGAAGGTATAAATGACATTCCTAATTCTGCTGTTTTCTCAAATGGCAAAGTACCATATTTTCAGGATAGTGTATACTGAATCTGACCACTTTCTTCCTTCTTCTCCCTCCCTCTGCTTCCTCTCCTTAAGCAGTATGGATAGTTGGTGTGTGTGTGTGTGTGTGTGTACTTGATATATGTGTGTGTTATACATATACATACACATATACACACAAATATAACATATATAGAATTTACTATAGCCTCTGTATTTCTATATACTATGTATATTATAAAAGAAAATTTTATATATTTCTTTTTCTCTAAATTTTTGTTGCTATTCCTTTCTCATTATGTTACTCATAAATATATATAAAGTTATTTTCTACCTATGTGCTTTCATTTAGCAAACATGATCTTGCAGACATATCCTACATAGCTATATATTAAATAGTCTCCTTGTTTTAAAAAAATTTTAAGCTTACTAGTCAATATGACTCTAGCAAATAGTTTACTGATTGATTCTGTATACAACTTGCTGGAGACTAATTCATATGTCGATGATCTAACCATCCAGTACCTCAGAATGTAACTGTATTTGGAGACAGGACCTTTAAATAAATAAATAAGTTAAAGGAAATTAATTAGGGTGTGCCATAATCTAATATGATTGGTGTCCCTGAAGAAAGAAGAGATTACAACACAGACCACACAGGGGGACAACCATATGAGAACACAGCAAGAAGGTAGCCATCTGTGAGCTAAGGAGAGAGACTTTATAAGAACCTCTCACAATTCTAGATTTGGGATCTATGAGAAAATAAATGTATATTGTTTAGCCACCCAGACTGTGATATTTTATAATGGCAGTCCTAGCAAATGAATACACAAGTATTTGTGAAGTGCAAATATGTTTACAGAAGTGATTATTTAATTCAATCTCTATTGAGTGATAGCCTCTGAAGTAAGTCTTATTGGATCATGTTCCTTAACACAAAGCTACAGCTTTACAAAGAGTGCGAGAGACCAGTATGAAAAACTGTCCACAATGCACAATAACATGGTGAAGCTGTATGAGAATCTTGGAGAGTACTTCATTTTTGATTCTAAGACAGTAACCATAGAGGACTTTTTTGGTGACCTCAGCAACTTCCGAACTCTGTTTCTGGTGAGTAATATATCTGAAAGCATTGCAAATCCTGTTGCTTTTTTTAAAAAAAATTCTATTGGCATTTTATATACCTATTGACTATATTGATTTCATGTTATAATCCTTTAATAGGAATTGACAGATATTTTAAACCTATGACAAGGATAAAAATTTTTGACTGGCTTAATGTATAATGGGGACCTAGCTGAATTATCTTCAACTTTAGGTATACATGGGAGATTTTCTACCATAGTTTTATTGGAAATAAATGAATTGGTAATTAAATGACCCTGATTTTTATATAGCACAGTATTATACTTTTACTTAGCTTAAAAATTAATACCTAAAAATCATCTTTTACTTAATACATTAAAATGCTGTGATTTATGAACAAGTTTTTTCTACAGCCTAAATGAGAAACTGTGATTTTAAATTGGATAATGTAAATGACCTTGAATACCTAAAGTTACTTTCACAATGTGGGCTTTGTTTTAAACTGCAACTATTGGGAATAATAGTAATATTACCATTAATTGGTAATGAACATTTAGGGTGAAAGTTATCCTAGAAGGAAAAAAAAGGCTTTGCTACATAAATGCTTCATTAATTCATCTCCTCAGAATTCAATAAATAAGTACAAATTGCAGCATAGATTGATTATGATAGAAACAGAAAGATATGCACAATAATTGATATCAATCAGGTAATGGTCCATATATTTTAAAGAACTCTAGAGATTATACCCAATGGGAAGATCAGTTAGCAAACAAATTTTTGCAGTTTGAGGTATGTTTCTCTTCCAGAGCAGTTGTTTATTAAATAAGGCTCCCTCTCATAGTCAGTGATGCCCTATGACATCACTTGATTTTGGTGTGAATTATACAATCTGTGAGATGTTAATATACTTATAGAAACCAAATTGTTTTCATATACTAACCCAAAAATACAAACCAGGGCACATGCCAACAGTTAAATGAGCAACTTTGGTAACAGAGGCTACAAGCTACACCAAAAACTTTCATAAATATTATCATTGGCTTTCATTTTTGCTGAAAATGTTAGCTGATTTTGGTCTTTGCCCCTTAACAGAGATACATATTCATCTTTTTAGCTGACCAATAATTAGTATAACGTTGTACTTAGCAATAAGAGGGCTAAGAGACAGTAGTAGTCAAATCATTTTCAAAATTTAAAAGCTATCAATATGATACAAGCACATAAACACTCAGATTATATCTACCTGGATTATATTCTATAAGTAAAGAAACAGTACACTAGTCTTCCCTTACTTGTATTTTCACTTTTCATAGTTTCAGTTATTCAAGTGGAAAATTCAAGAAGTTAAAAAACTCATGTTTCAAATAACTTTTATTATAGCTTATTGTTATAACTGTTTTATTTTATTATTAGTTATAGCTAATTTGTCACTGTGCCTAATTTATAAATTAAACTTTATGACAGTTACTTAAGTATATGTTTAAATATATATAGATGGATAGATACATATGTGTTTTGATACATATGTTTAAATATACACACACACACATACATATAGATCTATAGATGTAATTTGGTATCATTTGTGGTTTCAGGTCTATGCAGAATATCTCAGAAAGCATCCTCCTCAAATAATAAGGAAATACTTAATGTTAAAAAGGAGTAAGAAACAAAAATATATACTTATTTGGCACATTTAAATGATAAAACAAAGTATTTTTAACTAAACAAAGCATGTGGGTAAATGGAGAAAAAAGTATACAATTAATATTATCAAACTCCACTTAAAAACATCTTGTTTTAATAAGGACCAAGTCCTAAAACACTGCCTGTCACATTATGTGCCTCTTCATTTCCCCAATAAGCAGAAACACCATAGTCAATGCTTTATTTTTCCCACATTGTCGCATTTTTTTATTGGTTGCTCAAAACATTACAAAGCTCCTGACATAACATATTTAATATATTTGATTCAAGTGGGTTATGAACTCCCATTTTTACCCCGTATACAGATTGTAGGATCACACTGGTTACACATCCACGTTTTTACATATTGCCATACTAGTGACAGCTGCCTTTCCTATCCTCTACTATCCTCCCTCCCCTCCCCTCCCCTCCCCTCCCATCTTCTCTCTCTACCCCATCTACTGTAATTCATTTCTCTCTCTTTTTCCCCTTTCCCCTCACACCCTCTTATATGTAATTTTGTATAACAATGAGGGTCTCCTTCCATTTCCATGCAATTCCCCTTCTCCCATTCCCTCCCACCTCTTGTCCCTGTTTAATGGTAATCTTCTTCTCATGCTCTTCCTCCCTGCTCTGTTTTGAGTCACCCTCCTTATATCAAAGAAGACATTCAGCATTTGTTTTTTAGGGATTGGCTACTTCACTTAGCGTAATCTGCTCTAATGCCATCCATTTCCCTGCAAATGCCGCGATTTTGTTATTTTTTAGTGCTGAGTAATATTCCATTGTGTACAAATGCCGCATTTTTTTATCCATTCATCTATTGACAAGCATCTAGGTTGATTCCACATTCTAGCTATTGTGAATTGGGCTGCTATGAACATTGATGTAGCTGTATCTCTATAGTATGCTCTTTTTAGGTCTTTGGGGAATAGTCTGAGAAGGGGAATTGCATTTTTATTTATAAAGACAATTCCTGTATTATAGTCTATGTCTAGCCATATTAGTCAGATGCTTGCTAAGAAGTATTCTTGTGTTGCTTTTTAATCATAATGTTTTTTTTTTTAAATAAACCAATTCTGTGTCCTTGTACAAGGCAAAATGTGTGACTTTAGGTAAGTCATTTACCCTTTCTAGTTATGCATTTTTTGATGTACTTGTTTTTTATTTTTGTGTGTCTTTGTAAAATGAAAGGCTTTGAGTACTGATCTCTGAGAATTTTATTCCATTTTAGTATTCTGAGTCATGGTCAGAATTTCAAAAATGGCAGTCATATCCATTATATCTTTTTCTTTGGGGGGTGCTATCTTCACTGCATATTTAGCTTAATACAAAGGAGAAATTTCTCATTTATCTTTCTCTTTGTAAATAATCTGACATCATTATGTCTACTTTCATGTGCATTAAACTTTTTGATCTGTTTAGACTTGAGTTTCAAAACAAGTAACCAAATCTTACAAAGTGTCAATTAATATCAAATACTTACTAATGTAGTCTTGGCCAGCTGTTGCCATTTGTGCCTTACATACAGTACTGCTACCACTTCCATCTACAAAATTTTAACAACATACTGCAAGAGAACTGGGTGTACAACTTATTAGCTGTATTTAACTTGGCTTGAGCATATAACCTCTCTGGGCATTGGTTTCCTGATCTGTAAAATATGAATGATATTCCTGCCATGTCTTCTCGCCAATATGCAGCAAAACTTTGTAACCTTTGCTAAGCAGATGTAGATTATTAGTAGCCATTCTCTGATCTTTCCAGCAATTACTTACTAAGAAACAACTTGATTTTGATAATGGTATGGTCCAGAGATAAAAGGAAGAGACTATCATTGATAATCCTATCCATGAGTGGAGAAAGTAAAATAAATGCAATATTATTGAATAAGTAAGTGTAATACATATGTAATATATACATAGTAATACATTAAGTTATGATATTAGCATGAAGGAAGAACTGCCTAATTCTGCCTACACTGTCCAGAAAGCCTTCATAGAGAATTTGACATTAGGGCAGGGTCTGGAAAACTCCATAGGAGTTTGACAAGCAGATTTAAGAGTTTATACCTGATCTGTAAGACTCCTAAATCAACATCACCAACTTCAGTCAATCACTTGTGTTCACCATGTTCCTGTTTCATAGTGAGCTTGAAGTGATTTCACTCTCCCAGGGGAAGGAAGAACCCTGAAAGAGAGACAAAAATTGTAATCGCCTGAAGTTCCCATTTTCTTAGTGCTTTGTGTGTTTGGCCTCAGGGTTCTTAGTGCTAAAAGCATATTGGACTATAGATGGAAGCAATAAAATACCAGTAGTGCTGAGAAGAAAATAAGAGTTCTGATTCATGTGCTACCAAAAATTACTTCCAAATGAGCTCAGAGTTTCATCTTGGGAGATCTATTTGGCATGTGTAGCATAAACAAAATGCACATACCAAAAATTCTTCCTCAGAGAGAGTGTCTCTAAGAGATGGGAAAAACAGAAATAAACAAAAGTGGTTGACATTATGGATTAAGACCTTTTTTCAAAATAATCACATCAGATGAATAAAGGCAGAAATGGATAATTTCCATGGGATGCTGCTTTATAAATTATTAATATGATTCATACATTACTCAGCTAATGAGGATATTAAAGGTATCCAAAAGAAATGCATAGTATATTATTACACAAATATATGTTATTGGAAACATTTACAAATTTAGATTTTCTAGTTAGTTTTTCTGGGATTTCATCAGAGTTTTTAAAACTGCATATAATCTAGGCAAGATTAATTAACAACCACTAGATTCAAGTTGAATATTGTGTGGAAGAAAATTAAATTCCATATTTATGCAATGTATAAACATCTTGTTTGCTCATTCTCCTTTATGCTTCAGTCATTCGACTAGTTCAAACAGTTGACTGCACAAACACTCTTTTTTCTTTTGAGATATTTTGAATAGAATATTCAAAATCAGTGAACCTTATATATTTCACTACCATACAATATCTTGCTTAGGCATAAAAATTAATTTCAGCTGTTGGAAAAATGTTTGAGGCAAGTATTATACTTCAATAACTTTCATAGCTCCAAATAAATTATAGAAAATACTTCTTTTCTCTTTTAAATCTGTCAGTCTCCTGCTGCTTCTGTATGTTTTTGTTTTGTTTTGTTTGTAACGAACAATATGTTACCCAGGCACTCAATAAATATTTGTTGTGTTTTACCCCCATTCTATACCTCATACACTAGAAATATATAGGGATAAGGCTTTGTAGAGTTATTAGATGCAATTACATAATTTAGAAAGAAAATGTTGCCATTACTATTAATCATGCTAGCGGATTTC